TATATCTTTATGTTTGAAGCCTGAAATGTGGCAAAAGGTTGAAAAGTTCAAGGGGGCCGAATACTTTCGCAAGGCACTGTATATTGGTTATTATTCATAAACAATTTCTTCTTCTTCTGTATCTGTAGCTACAGAATTTAAAACAAAATTTCTTGTGTCTAAAAACTCAGATGTTCACTTGACACAATTAATTTATGTATAAAGTTATAATTTTAATTTATACATTTTAATTCTGTAATGAATGACTAAATCAATTAGAAGACTACCTAAATGCAAATTACCCTAAATTTATCACTAAAATAGTTTTCTGTGCTGCTCATGCAATCATTTGCATATTAAAATAATATGCAATTAAAATTATATGCTTGCAGGAAAAATAACAGCCTTGTTGAACTTCACTCAGGGTATCTCATATCATTTCAAGTATTGTCTATTTGCCATAAAATTGTCAAACGTCTGTTGCATTTCAAAACATTGGATTACCCCTGTGAGTTTTATTTTACAATGTTCTGTTTCAATGTAGATTGATCATCTGCTTCCCACAGACAAAAATCAGTGGAGGGGAAATTGTAGTTTCTGAGGAAGGGATCACAATTTTAAATTGGTGGAACATTTCACAGCCAGTTAGTCACAAAAAAATCTAAGAAGATTTTTTCCCTTTTACCTGTCTGTGATGACTAGGTAATTACTCAGGCAAGCTTGTAATTTTTATATGTATAAAACTCCTGGGATAAGGCTGAGTTCCTATGCTAAGTGTCCATAAAATAAGATGAATTCACATATCTGCAAAGCTCATGTTTCACAGGACGTTATACAGTTCTAATTTACTGCATACTGTAAAAGTAGCAAGTGGATCATATATAGATGAATGGTAAGAAATGTTCCCCTGCGTGGACCTCATTGAATTAGTACTTGTCATCAGCTTGCAGGGTCATCTGCTTGTGTTTTGACACTCTATCGTTTTCCTGAGTGTTTACTGTTGGCGTTGCGTTGCTCAGTTTCAGTTCAAATTAAGGCATTGATATTTCGCGCAGATACAAGATGGTGTGATATAATGTATCTGCACATGTGCGTTAGATTCCCTCTTGAACATGTTTGCAACACCGCTGTTGTGAAAGATGAGTATTAGCAGTAGGTCTTTCAGCATTCTACAGTAATCCAAGAAAAAGACATACTATTAAGTCCAGTACAGTATTATCAGGACTTAATTCTCTGCAAGATCATCGGAATCATCCCTCTGTACCTTCTGTATTCAGAATATCAGGGGCATGCTGAGCCTTTGCAGTGTTTGTTATTTCTATTTTTAACTTAATATTATAAGTTAAAATGAACTTTAATTTTAAAAATATTTTCTAGTTTTTCAGTAGGACTTCCGTTTTGATCATTTTCACAGACATCTGACATAATATGATTTCTCTTTCAGTGAGGTGGTTGCATAATAAAAAAATACAAACAATTTTCCTTTGGATTCATCAGGTGTTTTCCCACACAATCAGACACTGAACCCCTCCCCCCCACAGTAATTAAAGAAAACAAGACACATGCAGAGAGCACATCTTGTACCCTGAACCCACTGGTGTTGGCCAATAGTTTCGGCTGTTAAGCCTCGTGTTAGGTGTGAAGAAGGTTCTTCACCAAAAACAAACTTTCTTCTACTTCCCAGAATTGAATTTTGCTGTTTAGTTATTTGCCTGGTTTCCTCTGGGACTGTGGAGACCTGGAGGCTGCTTCAGACTCAGTTTGCTCTTTGCAGGATAGACTGAATTAACTTAATCTTAATAATAACTTAATAAGGGCCTTGCTCAGGGGCCCACCGGAGTAGGATTCCTCTGTCGGCTGTGGGATTTGAACCGGCAACCTTCCAGTCACAGGCACAGATCCTTAGGCACAGATCCACCGCTCTGCCGAATAAATGGATATATAATTGATATAGGCTACATGCATGCTTTAAAAGAGCATATGATATGATCTGTAATGCATTGCATGTTACTGTAAAGAGCTGTTACCCCCTCTCTCGAATTGACAGCTCACGTGTGATTCTGCTTGTGACACTGTGAATGTTCTCACTATGAAAACTAAAAATAAATCTTCCAAAATAAACTGTAAAGTACTCTTAAACTCCCGCAAACCACTTTGTTATATTAGTTCTGCACTTATGTTACAGACAGCCAGCTTCCTTGCCCAGACTGAACTTTATTCTGTGCATTCGGCTAGCTTGATGTCCAAGGAGGGAGTCTGTAGAATGTCTCTGCAGAACACAGGCAAGTGGGCCAATCCACATTTGATGGACTGGTGCTTTAAGATGACTTTCCACTATACAGTGTCTTCAAAAGAAATTTCAAAACATAACACAACAGGTCTTAAGAGTTAGTTAAAGAGACAATAAATTAAGCTGCAAATGATGCAATAAAAGCACTTGTGAAATGAACATCTTTAAAATAGGTCAGATGTGAAAATCTGTCAATCCCCTATTGCTTCCCATGGAAGTGTAAGCAGGATAAGTAAAGGTTTAACAAAACAAGGGGTATGGTACAATAACATTCTCCTACTGCTGCCATTATTAGCTATTTGATAAATAGATGCATCACTAATAAGGACAAAAATAAGTAAAGTTTTATTTGGATGTTGCTGCATAATCATACTTCATACTGCTGCATATGATGTTATAATTACATGCTTTAAAAGGACATGCGTGACCACAAATGACACACTGTAACGTGTATAAGAGGTTGTGACATTCATTTTAGCATCGTTTTTAGCTTGGATCATACCAAGTGCTAGAAATGATGCTTAAGCAAATGCCATGGCCTTTTATGCATGTCAAGTCATAAAAGCATAGCATGCAGGTCCCTATAAAGCACTATGCACATGATTATAACGTCTTGTCTAGCAGCCATGAAGGGATTATGAGGCCATCGTGCAGCAACATTCAAATACTTATCCACCCCTGGTGAACTATTAAACAACCTTGCTTTTTAAACAGCCCTGATTTTCATAAGTTATATTCATAAATGTAAACTTTATTTGTTTTAGTAATTTGAGGTGCTAAGTTCCCTATTTCAGTGAATTTGACTTCTTTTCATTAGGTGTCGAGTTAGACTGCCTAGATTCAAGAGTAATAGAACTACAGTAAGTCACCTTTTAGTCCCACAGCTATCAACCTCCATTTGAACAGTTGACTGTTCATTTACTTTATATATTTTTATGTCCTTTCTCACCATACATCAGTTGAATGTATTGTACAGTATGTATTGTGTGATATGTTGTCTGTTAGATATATTGCGTAATGTGTTATGTCTTTACCTGCCTGCAAAGCAAATTTCCTATCTGGAACAATAAACTAAGTATTAATTTATTCAAGATAATGGAAAAAAGCATTCCATTAAAACCAGCATATCATTCTAGTGATCAGTGTCTGCCCAATGTGTCCCACATGTGCTCAGCTTGGAAGAGATCTAGCAATAAGGTGAGCCAGTCCACGACCTTAAGCCCAGAGAGTAAGTGTTTTGAGTGACCCCTGACATTCACAGAGGAGCACCATCATGTTGTAAGATTAAGGCATTACACTGATGTCGGTACTGCATTGACTACTGTTATCATCTTCAGGACTGTTTCCTAAGTTTCTCCATGTGTGTCCATCAGGATACATGTAAAGTTCACCGTCATACTAAGAAACAACACAGTGAGCCTCACTGACTTGTGTAAAAGTATTACTGCTATAAGAGTTTATAAATAGGATAAAGCAAAGCCCTAGGAACACCCTGTGCCATGAAATTCGAGTTGTGGACTGGGATTCCAAGCTTGGACTTACAGTCGCCAGTGGAACAGTATCTGAAAGAGCTGTCTTGTACAGGAAATAGCAGCGGCCCGACATGCATTCCAGCAAACCACTGACAGGTGCAGCGCGTTGCAGGTCTTCTTTCAGAAACAGAAAACCTGCCCTACCAATTACCCGGATTCGGAGTCCTCCACTGCACATCAAAAGGAAAAGGACAAGCCTGCGGCAGCCTGGAACCTTAGATTCAAAACCCGTTCGTCAGATTTCCCAACGGGCAGAAGGCTTCAGTTTTTTAGCCGGGTGTGCTCCAGCTTCCAGGCTTTAAACACGGATGTCAGAGATGTCCGCTCACCACGATGTCCGAGAGAACAGATTTTCGATTCAGGACACATTTTGATCAGACTCCCACCGATTCAGTTCACCACTGCGAGAAAGGACTTAAAAATATATTGGTGTACTGCTTCGTCAGAACGATTATTGTGAGTGTTCACTACAACATGAATTGTTGCACTAATTGAGTGCAGATTTGCATCTTCTTCTATTGCTCAATTGAAACAGCTCTACTCTTAAAAATTAAAAAAAGACAAACCATGTGACTTGCAAAATGAGAGCTTGATCGAGTGGGAGAATGTTGTTTTGTCGTTTTCTTTTCTTTTTAAACAATAACAACACAGTTCTTTATTATTCTGTTTTCAGGAAATTCAGAGAGTTCACTTTATGACTCCACATTTATATTTTATTTTCCTTTAAAATGTCATTTGGATGAGGCCATGGTACCTACGATACAAGGTTCTGTAAAATATGTTAAGATGCATCCCTTACTTGAATTAGGCCCAATTACATGATGATTCACCCAATTATTATGTAAGAATTGATTGCCAAAGTAAGAATTTATATGAAAACTTGCTACCTGTTTTTGTTTTAGATTATGTTAACGTCTGCATTTGCATTTTGGGACTGTCTTCTAATAATTAAATTAGCATAATTAAACCTTGTTAGCTGAGTTAAATTACTAGTTTACTGCTGATTTATTATTATTAACAATAATGTATTACTAATAAGTAGTGAAAATATTTAATTAATGGAGACCCTGGCAGACTGGGCAATGGAAACATTACCCAGTTTGTGAGTCAGAAAGCCAAGGGTACAGTTCTGAAGACACCTGCCCAGATGATCAGTGCACTGTGATCTACACAAACTAAACATATCAGATTGCTTCTGAGCTGCAGGAAGTTACACATGAAAGGGATCTGGATGTTTGTGTAGATCCTTCAATGCCCTTATCAAGGCAATATAGGGAGGCAATAAAAAAGCAAAAAGTACATAGCAAAAAGTGTGGATTTAAATCTAGTGAAGTTTAGCTCTACAATGAGTAAGACCTCATTTACAATATTGTGTTCAGTTTGGGTCAACATACCACCGAAGGCATATTAAAGCCTGGCTTAGAGTAACAAGAAGGATTCCTGGTCTTAGGGGGCTGGCATTAATAAACAGGTCGAGAGAGCTGGATCCCCACAGGGCTCCACACAAGTACCGTATGGTAGTACCACTTCTGCAGTGGCATGTCTCCTTAGTTATCATAACACAGGAATGGGTTCTGTAACTGGGGAATATTCATCAATCAGTTTGAGGTGCTTACAGCTATAAAAAGCATGCATAATGCATACGAACAACACACACTTCAACATGTGTTGTTATGTGACCTTTGGCTTTGCCATAACAAATCTGAGAAGGTCTTCTTAAGTACTGGGGAGTGCAGCCAGGGGTTATGTGAAAGGCCCAGAGAGTGAGAAAAGTGACCCACAATGCATTTGCCACCACCCAGGGCACTGTAAAGCCTCAGGTTTGCCGTGAACTGAGAAGGCCTGAATCGCAGTTCCTAGAAGGTATCTCCCTTCCCATCTGGGGAAGCTGGGAGCGCTCCTCTCCTCTATATTTATCTGTCGTGTGGGTTAGCACACATCGTCTCCGAGCTGGATTTACTGACGGAAGTGTTCAGGATAGCACGGATTCTGCTGGTGATATGTTGAGCCCATTCCAACATAGCAGCAACTAAAACTGCTAAAGGTCTTTAAATGGATAACGAGAAACAGGACAGCCATTCATAAACCCATTAACACAGAGCAGTTGAAAAAAAGGTCTAGTATTTTTATTTCTGTATGCAATATTTTATTCATGGGTTTATTCAGGAAATGCAAATGAACACAAACGTACGTTTTTTGTTTTAGTGGAAAATATTCTGGCAAATAGTTCTTTCCTTTTTTTTAAGTGAAAAATATTCTGTAAAAACGTTTTTTTGACAAACTGCAGTTCAAAGACGGTGTTATTTTTGCAAATAAAAAGACTACTAGCGCTCACTTGATGTCGTCAACTAAACGTTATTTCAAGGACTTGTCAGAATCAAGAAAGTAAAGCAAATAAAAATCTTTATTTTTAATTGTAGGTCTCATATGTTGTGTCATCCTTTTCATATGAATTCTTCGCTGAACATTAAGTGTGTTAAGGTGATTTTGGTTGTTTGATTTATTTCTGTTTCTCCTGTCTTACTTAGTTTTTTACAGATTGGAAATTCAAATTATTTTACACTAGGTTTAAGGATTACACATATGACTAAACTTTTATGGAAGAGTATTCATGTCTACTGTTAGAATATATGTATTTTTTATTAATTGGTTAAGATAATTTATTTTAAAGAAGAAAAAGGAAAGTAGAAGTACCCACAGAATTGGTGTGATTGTGATTGTAAATGCTGTTTAATTTGTAATTTATCTAATAATATCATTAATCTGTCATTGTAGGTTAACATCAGATAATGCATCCTGTATTTTCTAGCATTATAAAATTAATACAGTTTATTCCCAATGAAAATGTCCTGTTCAGTTTATAACCCTGGTGGCTACATTTTTGTTGCTGACTGTATAATGTATGAAATTAAACAAACTTAAACAGAAGTGTACAAGCAGCAAACATTGAATTGTACGTCTGATTTAGACAATTAGAAGTGGGTTTTTTTGGCTGATTAACACTTAAAGCCACTGTTGATTGTTTTAAAATTGCTGTAATTGGGTACTCTCTGCCATTTGAATCCATCGTGATAGGCCGTATGTACTTAGGGACGCTCCTGGATTGCTTCCAGCTGCCTTCTGACTCATCTCGTATTTCTACACTTTTATTTACCAGGCTGTGGCAGGGTCACTATAAAGGCAGCGTCTTCACAAAGCCCACACAGTTCTCCTCCACTTTCCACTTTTCCCAAAAGTGCTGCTTGACCCTTCTTCAAGTCGCTGTTGGAAAACGATTCAACGGAGCGAACCTGCCTGGGCGTCATGATTTTAGCTCGGCAAAGAATTACAGCGAAGTCCGAAAAACTGATGACTTAGCCACTGACATACAGTAGGGTTTTACGAAAAAAAAAAAAAAACGAATAAAGGAGAAAATTAAAATGAAGACAAAGGAATACAACTGATCTGTGGGTTTTTTTCTAATTGGCCAAAGAACACATTTTTTCATTGGAAGAAGGCAACACTGCCGAACAACATGGAAAACGATAAAACAGGTAATATTAAACCGTTCTATCATCATCCTTTCAACTGTGTAAAGGGCTAATTTAAAAAGAAACCTCGTCACAGCACTGGCCAGACTGAAACTTGCCGGGTAGAGGGAGCGCTCGTCTGGATGGTGCTATCATGAGACCGGATGATATCAATCCCCGCACCGGACTGGTGGTGGCCCTGTGCAGCGTCTTTTTAGTGTTTGGGTTCATGTTCACTGTGTCGGGAGTCAAAGGCGAGACTTTGGGGGACGTCCCTTTAATTGCTATCGGGCCCGCCATCTGCCTGCCGGGGGTGGCCGCCATAATCCTGGCCAAAAAAACCAACGGCTGTACCAGGTGCCCAGGTCGCTGCCGAAGAAAAAGGCAAAAAGAAACCTCCCAGCTCCTGCGGAGCCCCTGGCACCTGGGCTCGGGCAAAGGGAGCTGTGGGGAGTTGGGGAGGCTGCACAAGGACAGAGCCCCGAGGTCGGGGGAAGACTCGGTGTCCTCCACCACTACTGTCGGGGAGGCCAGGAGCCTGATCCGCCAGGTGGACCAAGATGAGGTGATGAGGTACCTCCAGGCTTGCTACCCCTCCACCGTGTTCATGGGAGTCCGGGATGTCAGCTCCTACTGCGTCTTCGACCACAAGCGCGCCCTCAGGGAAAGTGCCGCCTACAGCACGGCTCATAGCAGCGTGATGTACCTGCCCAGAGACAGCATTGTGGTCTACTCCCGCAGGGACAGCAGCCCTTACGGTGCCTACTGCTGCTACATCAATCCCGGGGATTTCCGATGGGGCCAAGAGACTGTAGTCTGATCATAGGGATTGGCAAATAAGCCCTAACACTTACCTGTGCTTTTTTTAGCATGTGGGAGACAAAGGAATGGGGATCTATTCTTTTATGCACACGCTGTGTCTGTCTCTGTTCCAGTCAGTAGGGGACTAAGGGACACAATAAGGAGAAGCTGGCAGGTATTGTCCCCAGGGTCTGTGTGAGTGTTACTCTTCTAGAAGGATCCGTTCTTCGGAAATCAGTAACAAAAAAGAAAGTCTGGCATATTGCGCTTGGATATGGTTAATATGTTCTGAGGCAGTCAAGAAAAAAATGTACTGTACTTCCCAGTCTTTAATGGGTTTACCAAAGTGAAGCTGAGAGAGGATAATTCGGTCCTGTTGCTCAGCTTTTGTTTAGCCCTGGAAAGAGTGAAGCAGCCTTAGAAAGAGTGCTATCATTGTTTTGTTTTTTGTTTTTTTTCCAGAACCATGAATCCAAGTAAAGAGACAAGCCATTTAGGTTTGGGTACAATTAAGATGTATATGAATATGTTATTTTCCTAAGAGGAAATGAAAAAGTAAATGTAAGAACGTTTTTGTCCAAAATCAGAAGCTTTTCTTAAGTTATTTCACTGTTGAAAATGCTGTGCTCTGTTTCTCAGGGAAAAACAAACTAGTAAAAATGTCATAGTTTCCAGCATTTTGTTGACTAACTTCAAAATCAGGGTGAGTGTGAAGATGATTTTCCTTTTAATACTTAAGTTTAATTAAAATGGGAAAGATACTGAGAACAAAATTGTAAGGCTAGTTATATATTTAAAAATCACTTCATTAGAATTGACAAATTCATTTCAGGAGCTTTTTAACAAAATAATTGCATGCGAGATTTTCAACAATGCAAAAATACAATCAGAGCTTTAAGTAACATCCAAAGTCTTAACTTTAATGATTTTTAGAGGTTTTATTATTTTTGTATAAAAAATGTATTTATATTTCCAAACCTGAGCAAATTCTAAAAATAAAACATAGTCCTATGAAAGTGACAAGAAACAAATACAAAGACTTTTCATTAAAGCACCCTTAATAAATTACATTTGCTTTCTTTCCCATTTCTAAATATGCTTTATAAATAGCCTTGCTGGCATACTTTTTGTTGATAACTTATCCAGCCTTGCATGTGGCGTTTAAAGAGATTCCATCTTCTTCTTGTTTGTAACATTACAGGGGTTGCATTTCCATTTAAATGTAATGGTGTTAAGTGTGTTTAGAAAGTATAGAACTCTGGAACATGGATTGACTATATAATAGCTAAGTTACAGTTAGGATAAATGCACCAACAGGTTCAAGATTTTTAAATTGATTTTTTGTTCATTTAGACATTAGAGCATACAGTAGTATACAACAAATATTACTAGCATCACAATGTCATTGTGTTGCAATATTCATTTGGTTTCTATTTGAGGATGTGGGTTGAGATTTTTCAAGTACTCATTTTAAAAATAAAAACTATTCAAACATACTGTACACCTGTCACATTCTTCTGTTTTTTTTAACAAGAAAATAGTTTTTGCCTAAAGATAGATTACTGGGCCACTTTATTGACATTCTTTAGACTGGTGGTGGTTTTGGAACCATAATGGACTATCAGTATCTACAGTTAAAACTAAAAAAGTTTTATCATTTCAACTATGTTTTAGATAAATGTCCAAAGCAAATCCCTCAAAATATGAGAAAAAACTTAGAATATACTCAAGAAAGATACATGAATCTCAGATGTACAAGTGGCTCTTTATAGAAGTAGTGGACCAGATGGAGATATTTTTAAAAAACCTTGGACAGTAGTCTCATATGCAACTAACATCTTACACAAGAAAGTTTATCAAAGAGTTGACAGACCAGTCAGACTAACCCAGTTTAGTTTACTTTGGCCTTTGTCTTGTAATTTTACTTGACATATTTTATTGATTTCTTTTCTTCTGAGCCATGTGTTCCATTCTCTGTGTTACAAATCTGTTTTTTCCTTTGTACCGTGCTTTGTGAATACGTACTGTAAGTATTGTGGTTTTAGGTGCAGCTAAAAGGTTGGAGGCAGCCCACCATTATAAGATAAAGATACAATGGGGTGTTGTTCAAGAATTTGTGTAGACTGTCCCTTTTATCTGATTATCGCACTTGAAGCAGCCACAGAGCCAGGAGAGAAAACAAGTGGTACATATTTAATATTGCAAAGGAACAAGTAATAGGTTTATTCCATGCTGAAAAAAAGAAGAAAGAGAACACAACGTTTCGGCCGTGGAGCCTTCTTCAGGTGTCAACCTGAAGAACGTTGTGTTCTCTTTCTTCTTTTTTTCAGCATGGAATAAACCTATTACTTGTTCCTTTGCAGCCTACGCATGCTGACGCAGCTACCCACCTGAACTACATATTTAATATTGATTCTTAGTGAGGTCATTAAGCCAGTCCTCTTGGGATAGGATGAACTGGGCCTTAAATCAGGATAGGACACAGAATAAACAGGAACAATACAAAGAGTGAAGGAGTGAAAAGAAGGAAGATTAGAGGAGACGTATCCAGGTCATGAGAGACACACTTCCTTTTGCAGACTATTCTAAGAGATCAGAATATGTCCAAGTAATCTCAGCACTGGGACAGGCTTTTAGAAAGGAACTTGCTGTCTAATATTTTTGTTTTTCTGATTTCTTATCTGTGGAATCCAAAGGCTAAAAGACACCTCTCTTTGGATAGTGTAGCATTATTTTGGAACGGGGAAATAGTTTTGCATCCTTTTGAGAGAGCAGTTTAGTTCTAGAGAAGGTTATCATCTCAGCCTTTCGACTTTCCAGACTAACTTATACTACAAGAGGAAGACACTAAGTTATTTAAAATCCTTTATTATTATTTTATAGTCGCATACAGCACTTTTGTTTTAAGTAGAACAACCAACCTTTCAGCAGTCAATGAAGCATGACAATGTGTTAATCACAAAGGTCAAATTTAAATGTGGGACTTAAGTCATAGTTTGTTAAGGACTGGGTGAAAAATAAAGGGGAATTTCAGTACACAACCTACAGTACCAGGAGTACCAAACCTATATTCAAACATGTCTGTACTGTATATATTATAAATATAAACGTTTACAACAATTTATTCCAACATATATTAAATTAGTACAATACAACTGTTCCAGCTGTAATTTGTTGTAATTAATCCCTCACAACCTTGTCCACTTGTATGTGCACGGTCCAGGTTCTCATGTAAACTGTCTGGTTTTTTTTTCACATTTTCTTATGTACACTATATCTATGCTTGTAGTGCAGCAGGCTGGTCACTTCTCTGGCACAGAAAGTATCTAAAGAGCAGAACAGGCCACCTGATGAGCACTTTACTGGAAGAATTTTTTTTTCTCCAAAATTTGTTTCCACTGTGTTTCTAAAGCTCTCAGTATTTTAAGCACTATTTAGCTTTTTTTTTAAAAGCCATCTTTCCTCTTATTATACTGTAGGCAATAGCAGTGTTTTTATTTAAACATATTACAAATTCATAGATTAGTAATAAATGAGGTAATTGTTTTTCAACTTTCTTCTGTTTCTCATTGCAGCTGAACTCTCAGGTCTATAGCTGTTGCCACATCCCAACTATGAATTTGCTTAACTATTTTCTTCTTAGATATTGGAACCAGTAGTTATTTCTTCTGTTATTATACCTGACCCGTCTGGAAACACTGATTGTCAATCAGTTACTTGTACCTGTCCAACCCCTCTAGCCTGGGGAGGCCTCAGACATGCTTACAAACCATTCCAGTCTGCACAGCTGGGAGATTGGCTTGACATTTGACACCCTGTAAGCTCCATACTGCCTTAAAATAGAGTCGGCACTGATTGGACAATTGAAGCTTCACTCCTTGACAATAAGCTGGAAACCTACAGTATAGGCATCCAGCAGTCTCAGCAATGGCTGTTAAATGAAAAACTGAGAATCCCATGTCCTACACAGGCAAACCCAGCCCCTGGCCAATCGTATGCCTCAGGACTTCTAGGCTTGGTCACCTACTGTAATTAACAATAAATGAAGGTTTGAACAAGCAACAGAAGGACCATTGGACTCAATATTCCATTGAGTGTGTACTTAGCACTTTTTCAACTGTTTTTCTGCTTCTAAATAGTTGGAGATTTTAAAGTAGGTATAAAATATTCTGAGTAACTAGATCCAAAAATCAGCAGACACAGGAGTACTCCAGAACCAGTGTGCTAGAATACCCTGCCTTGTAACATTTACTAACAAAACGCAAAACAGTCTAAAAAAGAGGACCAACTTCACGCCACCTTAACAGAACATGCTGAAAATATCACATTCTAGGCTTACATAACTCTTTTTTTCTGCCTTCTCTTTTAATCGGATGCTTTAAAAAAATACAAAAGCAGAAGTACGACTGTAATGCTGGAGTAGGGGCAAGTTTATTTTCACACAGTCACACCAGTTGGTCAGGCCATTTCAGCTTCCATATACAGTAAATCCTTGAACCCTATACTCTTCTGAACATGTCAGAACCTTTCAGCCTGCCAGAGGTTTCGTGTTAACCAAAAGAGCACACCAACGATCAATTTTTTGAAAATCTGAGACTTGTGGTTAGGTTGAAGTTCAGATTTAATCAGGGGTCCTTTAATCAGCTCTAGTCTAGTCTAATTAGCTTGTGTGCCATTCAAGGAGGAGGCTTTAATAAGTACAAAATTGAAACAGAATTGAAAAGAGTGGCATTCTTAATGTGTGCTATTGTACTTGTTAAAAAATTAACTAAAAGAAAATAGGTTAAATCAATACATATATCCTTATTAAAATGGCACTACACAATACTTAACAACACACGAGTATTTAATTTTATACGATCTTGCTGGTTTGGAAGGACATCGATAAATCTTAGCACAGTGCTTACATGGCATTTCTAGCTTGTACTAGTCTTAGTTTTCATTTAATTAACTTCTTGTGCACACATGACTGTTGCTTATCCAATGTAAGATATGAGTGTCAGCAAAGCAGATTAACAATATCAACAACAACCATAATAACAATAACAATAACAAGAATAATAAATTACACGTGTGGACAGATATATTACTCTTTTTCACATTCCTTTCTGGGTTAAAGACCAGAGCCACAGCTGAGTCTTTTCATTCTGAAATATGGTAAAAATAAACAAACAACTTGTTTGCATTAGTTCAAGGAAATGTTTTCCTAGGAATTACTAATTATCCTTCCAGATTTAATACTTGTGTAAGAGTCAACTAAATATTCCAAGTTAATCAACTTATGTCTTAACATACAGGTCGTGAACAAAAAATGGAAACACCAATGTAAAGTCACTTAACAGGGTGTTGGGCAACCGGTATGGTCAACATGCAGTGGCACAGAGTCTACCGGTGTCTACCTGGAATTCTGCAGGAGTGATGCAGCACCATTCTTCCATTAGAAAGTCAATCAACTCACGCCTGGTTGAGGAAGGTGGAAAACGTTGTCGTATTCATTATTCCAGACAATCCCACACATTTTTGATTGGCTTGAGTTCTGGTGCCTGACAAGGCTGTGATGTATGGAGAACATCAGTGTCCTGCCCTGCTTATCAAATCACTGGGTGATCACACATGCTCTGTCCGTCTTCTGATGGGATACAAATGCTGCAACATGGGGTGAGCATGATCACTCAGTATCTTTAAGTAGTGATTCGAATTGACCTTGACTGCAAAGGGAATAAGTGCCCCCACACTGTGCCCGGAAAATGTGCCCCACAGCATTACAGAACCCCAGAGAGCCCTTCACTGTTGGACTCAAGCACTCAGGGCTGTAGAATTCTTGAGGATGACTCCACATGTGCACTTGGCTGTTTGTTGAGAATGTGGTGAAAGATGAATAATCTGACCGCATCACGTTTTGTCCGCTGCTTGATAGCTTATTGCTGGTGCTTTACTCACTGCACACTGGACTCGCAGTGCATTGCCAGGTACCTGGTATCCTGCCCTGTGGAGTTCTTGATGGACCAATGTTGACGAAACCGGCTGCTCGTACCCCATGCTGTTATGTTGAATTATACAGAAATAGAGGTATAGGGAAAGCCTTTATGACAAAATATATCTCTGCTGGAATTTCCCCAGTTGTGAAAAATAAGAAGTTTCATTGTAATCTTCAGACTAATTTCAAATACCTCACTTTTCATGTCGAAATCCTCACTGTAATATCTACATGGAAGTATTCCCTGTAACGTTCATGAAAGTAGATAACAAAAAAACCTCTGCTATGGAAAACAATGAGAGGACCACTTTGACCCCAAAAGGCAGGCTGATATAATAATACCTCTGCAGTCACACGGTGTTAGACGGGATTGAAGTGAAGGTCATTATTGAGGCACCCTGGGATGGAAGGGTAATGGTCTTTCTCAATTTCTAGGACAGCAGGAGTTGTCTTGGCAGTTTCCTTATTAACAGGTGCAGCCTCTTTCCCCTCTAGCCAGTAGGTGACCATGTCTCCCTTTCCCTGTCAGCAAGAAGAAGATATTCAGTGGAGAGGTGACTAGCTGAGCACTGAACTTGACCAAAAATACAGTATTAAAGCTTTTTTTTAAAAGTCGAAAGATTCCAAATTTTACAATTTCTTAACTGGGTGGTTTTCTAGACGTCCTTAATCTGCTACCTATCACGTATTAAAATAGGAATAACTAGAAACAAATCCAGTAGACTTCTTCAGCTTACACTTCATGGAACAAAATGGAGAAAATAGGACATGTATATTTTATTTATCTTAGAAAATAATGGTACCCCACAGTGAACATGGTTCAGCAACTTGATTGATCGAACAAAGTGTTAAAGAAATGAAATGAGACCTGTTGTTCTCAAAAAGCAAACATGACAACTGTATGTATATTCTTTCTTGATAGCAATAATTCAAGGATAATTTAATTGAGTATTATTAATATTTAATATTAATTTAATATTTCTCTTTGTTTTGAAATTCCCCTGGTGTGTGCTCGACTCTGCTGAAAATCGTAATGCCTCACCTTGACCTGTAGCGATCCCCGACAGGTTAAAATATAACCACCAATCTCCTCCAGCAGGTAAAAGGTTCCAGAGCTGCACTGTATCTTCAGGGCTGGAGGAAAATAACAAAGGTTACAAATGAATGGAGGTCTCCACCGTGACATCAGCATTCACATTCAGTTAAAACATTCTTAGAGAATAAGAAATGTGGCACTGGCTAAATAACCATTTCGCACATTGAATTGCACACTGGGGTTTCCTGGAAAAAAGAAAGCTTTGTCAAGGCTAGAGTCTATAAACTACACCGCAGAGGGAAGGGTGTTCCAGAACAGCACCTTCGCTGGTGGATTCCATTCTCGAAGCCGTGTTCACGGTATCGCCAAACAAGCAGTACCGAGGCATCTTCGTCCCGACCACGCCTGCTACCACCGGACCTGGAACAAGGAAACGCAATTGTCACGCCCTCTGCAGCCAGAGGGCGCTCCTTCTCTGTCCTGTCCCTAGTTTCCGATCTGCTGTCCTTCCTGTCCCTCTCTTTCCCTTGGGCTATATATTTCCGGGTGTTGCACTCTGTCCTGGCTCTGCATTGACGTTCGGATGTCCTGAGTCCCGCCTAGCACCAGGGCGCCTCACGTCCACTCCCTGAGGGCATAGGTTTCTATACGGCATTCCTGAACTCTTTGCACTAATGAGCCCGGGCCTTTTTCCCGTCTCGCCGCTACGCATATGGGTCTTTTTCTGCTCTCCTGCTCCCCACGGTTAGTCCCTTAGGACGTCCGTGACAGCAATCTCTTTAGATCTTTAGACCTGTAGTTACCTACAATCTACAACCTTAGCTGGAGGGCGGTGTCCTCAGCGCATGTGTCCAATGTGGACAATACTGTACCCGAGGAGAAATATTACCTTACCCTAATCCCTCCAGTTCACCTAGATGGGTACCAGTACTGATGGTGGCCAGCCTGCAACGGACTGGCATCCCAACTAAAAAAATGAGCTATCCCTTGGTCCGATGAGCCACTAGGTGTGAGTGAGGACTTGACTTTCATTTGAACGTTACATAATTGAAAGTGGAAAAATATACCCTCTTATGCAATCCAGAGTCCAGAGGGCACAACAGTTTCAACGGGTTACTCTGTACCTGAGTGGATCCCAGCTCGTATCTGTAGCAGTGTGTTAGGCTTGTGTGGAATTCGGAAGGTTTTACAAACGGCAACCAGATCCAGGGCCATGCTGGCTATCTCACTAGCATGGAGAATTCCATTTTCCTTTGGAACTCCAGAAACAACCATATCTGAAACAGACGTCCATTCAATACCGTTAGATAAATGGAGGCACAATCCAACTATCAAACAAATTGACTTTGTTTGAGCAAAATCTGTGGTAGTATCAGACTCCTTTTTAGGGAAGGACTGCCTCAGTTACAGACGGAAAGATCAGTGTCATCATGTTCGAAAGAGGTAAAATAGAGGACTATCATCTTGGAAAAATCTCTGAGCCTAGTTGATTTTTTTCCAACCTGAAGGCTCTTTCTTTCAACATTCATTTTCTACCACCAAGTCAAGGGCATCACCAAGGCGACCTGAATGGGTTTATGTTATGCTATTATCCTTGACAGCTGTCTCCATGTTTTCAGGTTTCATCCATAAACTCTACAAGTAACACATTAATGACTGTTGACTCTTGCTTTTCTGAACATCTCGCTAAACTGTCAAAAACATGTCTAAACAAGCGATCTGATCAGTTACAAGCATAAGTACACACTAGTTCTTTTAGGGGACAGCAGACGCATTGGTCCAGCAGAATGAGGACTGAGAACCACTGACTTAATTAATCAATTGGTTTATTAAGAGCTCAACCTGGAACTGACTTAATACCGAGTATCTAATAAATGGCCTATAACTGTCAAAGAAAAGAAAGCACTCACAAGCATCTCCAATGGTCTCAACTTTGTAAACATCATAATTGTCAATAATTTCATCAAACGTTGTATAGAGTTTGTTTAAGAACTCCACTACTTGATATGGTGTGCTCGTGCTTGACAGCTGAGTGAATCCCACAATGTCGCTATTAGAGAAATAATGAAAAAAACAATGAAAAAAAATATTTAGATGGCAAGAATTAAATGGGCAATATTATCAATTGATGCCTGTCTTTTAAACATGATCATTTCCTTAAATGCTTTAGAAATATCAAAAAAAATATTCCTGATTAAATGCTTATGAATTTTTAAGGTGATTTTAAAAGCCTGTAAAATATGTTGTTAACAATATTCTAATGAAATATCAAGAAGTGGTGGTTGAAAAGGAAGTGTCAGATAAGGAAAGTCTGGATCTGCATCTATTTATTCACTGTAAGCTCTAGTTACCTTTAGTATCTCTAATGTTTACTTCATTTTGCAAAAAATGTGAATCGTTTTGGATGAGATGAGGCAGATATGTTGCTGTCACTGTATCATGTTCTCAGAGATGAAATGAATCCCACTATGATGCACACGAAGACAGACGTGGTTGAATACCTAACCTGTTTCAGTTTACCTGAAGAAGATGGTGGCGCTTACATAGCTCTGAGCCTGGGATGGCTTTCCCTGTCGGAGGTCATCCGCCACCTGCTTGGGAAGCATGCCTGCAATCAAACAACAGCTAAGACGATTCATGCCCTGGCACGGGGAATCATACCCACTTGGATCTGCTTTATGTTATTGCACACTTTTTTAGGGAACCTCATGTTCCAGAAACTGAAGTTCATTGTGTCGTAACGAATACGCCTCTGTGCTTAACAGGGAGCTTGGCAGCCTGGGCTGAGGGAGTTCTCCATTAGCTCAGCCGGTAAATTCCCTGTTGCGTGACGCCGGAGACCCGGGTTTGAGCCCCAGCGGCGGGGGGCCGCCCTGAGGGAGGAGTGGTGAGGGCACACGCCCAGAGAACCTGAATTCGTTACAATATTAATTAATTGTTTCTTGAATTTACACAGGACCTCTCGTTTCAAGGGATACCAAAGCGCTTCACACATGGGAAGCATCACGTTGTCATGCCCCAGCAGCCGCACTGAACACCAGATTAGGTGGATTCATTCTGTTTTTCTATTGCATTGACGTCTGGCAGTATTAGAGAGACTATTGCTGGAGGAAAAAGGTGTTTTTTTGTACATTTTTTTAACACTTCTGGTTTGTATTTATAACAGATTGACAAGAAGCTACAGTATGTGATCTTCTTCACATAACCAAAAAAACGCACAGGCAATTGGAAGAACAGCCTAAGCCTAAGAGCCGTCCCTTCTGTACACTCTGAATAATAATAACTGAATGGTCAGAATTAGCTGAATAACAACTATTTCTACCTGTTAGGTCAGCGTTTTCTATTAGGCAGCCATTTCTACTTTTGTTTGCTTCCTTGGCACACGGGCAAACTTGTACTCTGAAAATGTGCATTTGTCAAGGTAGGGGACACTTGTTTTTATATACTGTATTTTGGTGCATTTTTGGTTTTGACTTTGTATTTTGCTGGAGAATTGATAATCATCAATGGGGCTTCTCTAAACTGCAACATTACATAAATATACCTATAAGACAAAATCATTTGCATTATGCTTTTGTATTTGGTTACAAAACAAACTGTTGAAAAGCTTAGATTGTCTAGTCCGTTTTGGTTTTGCTGGTAGAAACATTTATAACACGCTCGTTTTGCAATCTCTGTCTGAAGTGCTGTTGTCAGTATTCTGCTGTTGATTTGTTTATTACAAAATAGTTTAGCTGCTGTGAAAATGAACTTAATGGTTTTTTTATAGTATATTGGGGAATACTCGCATTTGCGATATTTGGAGAAGCAATTAAAATAATGTTGTTTTAGTCATGCTGAAAAGCAAATGTACGCGTTTAGTTGGCAAGGTGTTTGTAAGTTGGCGGAAAAGAGTTAGGAAAGTGTTACAATGACTAATAACAGCACAAAAGTCTCTGAAGGACATGGCAGGGAAGAGCCAATGACAAGAAACAAAGCCGTTCACTGTTCCGAGTTGAGGGCTTACTGTATAAAAGACGGTCGGTCTTCTGTTTTTCATGTACCAAGTCCTGCGTCCTTTCAGCTACAAGCACCTCCAGGTGTTTGCTGTATTTCTCCATCTACAGAGCAAAGACAATGAACACGTAGATAAAAAGCCTTTGGAACACTTTTGGTTTTTTCTTTGTTGTCTTGGATAGGATATAGTCTGTTATTTGATACATGAACTACAAGTTCACGTTCATAAAAGAATCAAAACGGAGAAAACATTTATTGAAGGGGCCAGGGTGCCAGGTATGCTATCCTCCTGCACATTTACAAACGGACTGCAAATACATTATGGATTTCTTTATTTAAGCTATTGAGATTTGAGCTGAAAAATCCTCCAAGCTTTTTCTTTCTGACCCATTGTGAGAAACCGCATCTGAAAAAAAACACCATTAGCTAAAAGCCTAACACAATGAAGCATAATTTACCAGGTTCATCATCATATCCACAGGGCTGACTTTGTTCGGGTTGATTTTATGCACAAACTTCTTGATTTGGTCAAAGGTTGGCCGGTGGGCTGGATTATGGGACCGACATCTTCTAATGAGCTGTTGAGGGACAAACTCAGTTTTAGAAGAGTTTAACTGTCAAACACACACACACGTAATACACACACCACTACTGCTTGATGGAGGGGAGCCGAGAGGAGTCTTGATGGTGTTTTTTGAGTGTGTAACAACCATCTGCCACTCTTCGTTCACTTTATTTGATGTGTTTTGTGCTCTGATTTCCGTCATACAAAAATATATTTTCTGAAACCTAAAGAAGCGATGTTAGGAGTTCAGACACTTTTCACTCCCTGCTGCAATACAGTCTGATTCTGGTTTTTATGTTCAATATTGCTCCACACGTACAGCTGAAGGACTCTTTCCAGATCTTACCTCCACATACTCTGAGGGGCAGGGACAGGTGTTTTCTGCTTTGCCTGTAATGAGCTCGGGCAGAGGTGGACACCATGCGCATTCTAGGGAGCTGTCTTCTGCCTGAAGGAGGCAGAAACATGATGTTAGTCAGTGAAAGGGATAATAGCTGCTGATGAACTCCACTTGCACCATTTATGTGAAGTGAAGGCTTTTTGTTAAATGTGACACTGAATCTGGGGGGCAGACTCAATGAGAAAAATAGTATAGTTTTCGAAAGCGAAACAGCTGTTTGAAGTTGAGCTGTACATTACAGCAAATCAAAGTGCACAAGTGGTGAAAAGCACATATCACCACCAGAAAAATAGAATTGAAAATACAAAGCGAGGCATGAGCACAAAGTAGATACAGATCAAACATTCCTAGACGGCCCTTCTAAAAAGATTATTAGCAAAGGTAGTTTCAGTAATAACTGTATAAAGTCAGATAGAAGAAGTATAAAAAGTTTTTTTTACGGTGATATAACACTGCAACAGTGCATTCTGACTTTTTCTGAAGAAAAGATTATTTTGAATTGGGCTGGAAATTATTATGATTACCCAAAGCTATATTAGATTTTTGAAGCAATAATGTAACAGTAACAGTTTTAAATACTGCTAGCATCATGTCGGAGATCAGGTGTTTAAATTATTTGATTTTCACTGCTTGATGACTCTCTGGAAATCAGCTTTGATTTGTCTTCTCTTTGGCTATTTATTTAACAATAAACTGACATGTAAATAGGAATTTCAATAAAAAAAAACAAAAACATTTAATCATTGGTGACACGTACCACAGTTTGATTAGTTTGTGTAAAAACATACTCATTGAACGGAAATGCCGAAAAAATGCAGATGGGGAAGAAGGATGTACTTACTGGGACAGGATCACTTCGAGTTGCTATTTCCAGTAATATAATAGAATAACTGCAAGAAAACATCAATTATAACTGTGTCAAAATACTTCTGAAAATAGTCTGTTTGTTTAATAAGAAACACATTTATTTTAACAAATTAACAAAATAATTTAATTCAGCTGAAGGTACTTTATAAAACATGGTGACCAGCTGGAGTAAAATCTTAATAAAATTAGGGTTTTAGGGTGCTGGCTTCAACAACATGGCTGGGTAACTTGTTCCATACTCCCACAACACTTTGCGTAAACAGGTGCATCCTGTTCTGATTTTAAAATGCACTTATACATAGTGCCCTCTGCTTAACTGTACAAATAGTAAACACAGAATGGTCCTGCACTAGAAACAGGCTACTACTATGTATAAAAAATCCTAACTGTATTCACTGTCAAATGTCTATTTCGGGTATTATTTAATTGCCTGAACACATCTCCTGCAAGTGTGGGCTCAAAGTTTGATGACTGTGCTTCTGGTGGCATATAAACCTCCTTCAGCCTCTGCTGGTATGTGCTTGGGGCTTCACCACAGTCCTCTTTGCGGTATGTTCCTAGGCAGTAATCTGTAGGGGTACAAAGGCAGAAATGGTCAACATGCCATTACGAGTCATCCTCTTTTGTAACACAAAAACAAAACACAGCCTCAATGAATAATTAAAAGGCACATAAAAAATCAGGGATGGCACTGTGGTGTGTTGGTTACCACCTCTCTTGGGGGTTGGACTGCTAGGATTCTGGACTGGGGCACCTCCTGGGTGAACCCTGGATGTTTTCTCTGGATTTTGTGGGTTGTCACCAGGTGCTTCTCTTCTCCCCCACTTTCCAAGGACACTCTGGCTAAGGTGTCGTCTCTAAACCGTGTGTGTCTGTGCTCTGCCAGAGACTTATCTTCCATACAGGGTGTGGCACTGCCTGGAGCCCTGCGTTTCCACAATACTTTCCAGGCTGGTAGGACTATTACAAAACTACAGTATGTGATTTTCAGCTGGACCTAGAGCGGATTGTACTTAGCACTGAAGTCCCTATATACAGGACTCTCGATACAGGCTGCAGGACAGAAACCCTCTCAGATTTGCTCCTCTACCTTAATCATCCAATTTGTCAATTGCAGGAGAGAAAGAACAGAGGTGCATGTACTGTATCGTCCGCCCCCGTCTGGTCCCTCTACCTGTGATTTTGCAGACCCAGCGATCGTCAATGACGCAGTTCATGGACTTCAGTCTTCCGTGACAAATCTTGTGCTGGTGGAGGTATGATATCCCTCGAGCAATATCAGTAGCAAAGGAAAATCTGCAAGCCACAAAAGGCACAATCTGCACGTCATTTGAACCTGGAACATCACCCGGCTCATAGTTCATGTAGGTGTCCAAAAAATCTAACTTCATTTGGTCTACACAGCCAAAAATGTGAAGACAGCAAAAGCAGGTAAAAAGGTTTTCCAAATATATTTTATTTGTTTTTATAAGTATTTTATATTTTATACGTTTTTTTACTGTTCCTAGTTACTAATTTAAACAGCCTTCACTTAGTAGGAAATGTGAAAACAAAGAAAGCCCATTTTAACCCTATGGAGAAGTATAACTGTAGCAACTGGAGACCTTTTCCTCAACTTATTAAGTAGTTTACATTTATCCATGTTTGTACAAAACCTTTTAAGATATTTGAAGTTAGTTCCGAAACACAGGTTAAAACTTTGTGAAAGAGTGCCTAGTACTGTGTAACAACGTCTACATTTACCTGAACCCCCAGTTGAGAGGAATTTCCTCATTGAGAAGGACATCATTAAGACTGCCTTTTGGACAGTACTCTGTTACAATGGCCACATTCGGCACCTCCAGACAGCCTCCAACGAATTTGCACAGGTTTGGATGATCCAGTTCTCTGGCACAGCAGCAGAAAATGTTCAGTTACAATTGATTTACACACATTTTTAAAGTGAGTATTTTTAATCAAAATGTGAACATTCAAACTGAACAACTGAACCAAGTCATTCAATGGCAGAAGAAAAAAAGAAAAAACAAAAACTAAAATATGTTGATATATTTTAAATATTGATATTTAAAAACGTGTATTTTCTATTATTGGAATGAGTGTATACTTTTGCAAGGCACTGTACTTATAATTAAAATGTAATATATAGCAGACTTATTTATAAATGTCTATAATGCCATTTCATATTTAGTTTTAATGGTCACTGGTTAGCCTTTTTTAAGAAAGTTGTACTTTTCCAAATGTAAATATAATTAAAAATGTAAATGTAACTTAATTTGGAAATATACATAAAATATTTATAGTTACAATTGTCAATGTTTAAGACCATTTAGAAATTTAATTTAAAACATTTTTAAATATCCTAAAATTCTTACAAAAGATTTAAAGTGTCACCCATTTACAAATGCTTTTCCACTCACAAGAAACACTTGATTGCATTGTGTGAAAACATTCAGTTAAGGGTACACATACTGTAACCTACAAGAAATACTGTGATTTAATTGTCTCTCTGTAGTCAAAGTCATAGTTCTTTGTAAGTCATTCCTCACCACTGCATCACTCATTATCAATATAAGACCAAAGTAACAAAACAAAAAAGTCCTCTTGTATTCGTCTGTTTTCCCTACCTTACTTGTTTCACTTCCCTTCGGAGAGTCTTTGTAAGGGAAAATGTCTTCTTTTTTATTTTTTTAATGGCAACTGTGCGTCCATCGCTGAAATAGACCATTTTTAACTGGTTAACAGGAATCGGGAATTGAAATGTACATTTCTTTATCCTCATTTCTCTGTTTGACGGTAATAAAATGTCTCCGTCCTTGAGGGCCGGAAATAAACAGGATTTACTGTATATGCCTTTATAAATCGTCAGTTTTATTTGACCTAATGATTACTACTCTTACCAAACCAAGCTCTCATTAAGAGACAGCATGCAGGCTACATGAAACACCTAGAGGTAATATGGTCCCAGGTAGACTGCTATCATATTCAGATAAGACAACAAAAGTGATTTAAAATATATAATACAAAATCTAAACATTAAACAGGAATACAAGAAAGATAACCAGTGAGATGTCATATCATTTCACATCACATCTAGTTAGTGTGACCTTTAAAGGGGAGCTAAAGTTCCAATTTCTCAGTAACAAAATTAATTGATCTTATAGAAAAAAATTACAAATTTCTAATTAAGCACAAAATTGTGAACTTTGTGAAAGTACTGTAAGTCGCCATGTTGTCGCAAACTGGCGTTTAAGTTCACATAATTTCGACATGATGTGGCCCTTCCTGCTCTCTAGTCTCTGTAAAGATTAATGCAATGTGATGTACGAGCGAATAAATACAGGTTATGCAGCAGACACTTCACCGCAGAAATGTTCCAACGTGATCTGCAAACAGCATTAACAGGTAAGTAGTATTTGTTGGCAAAACCATCTAGAAATCGCAAGCAATATTTCTTTTGGATTAAAAGAGCTGTATTCACAAGCCTGCTTGTTTACAGTGTCGTAGGGCTGCACGCATCACTGGATGTTTTGTTGCCTCGTTCTGAATCACAGAGCTTATCATTGTGCATACCTGGAAATTTGGTCTATTTTGTGATGTAAATTGGAGGTTTTACAAGTGTACATTTTACTTTTATTGCAGTTTGAAATGAAACCATCAAAGCTGATTCTTTCAAACTCTGAAATACGAAACATAGCATGGCAGGTCCCCTTCAGTAGCCAATTCATCTTCTTAAAAGTTGTTTGGGTTCAACAACAAGGCTGGGCAGCTTCCCACAACCCTTTGTCTCCTGTTCTCTCACTTGGTTCATTTTGCCATGGTTTTGCATAAATACTTTAGATATTTAGAATACATTATAAAAATATTTTTCATACATACTTCCCGGATGCAGAGTTTATTAAATAAATAAAAAATTGCAGGCTATATTTTCTGTTTACTCGGAATAGTTTGAATGCAGATCTCTCAGATCTAGAGACCTGGTGTTGGCTGGTCCGCTGGGACTGCAGCTGCCGCCGGTGCTGTCTGGGCCTGCAGAGGAAGGCGAGCGGCGGACACTTACTAAACGCCCGTCAGAGTGAAGTGCTGCTTGCGGGATGGGTTCAGGCCCCCCGTGCACGAGCTCAGGGTGGTCATGCAGCTGGCGTTGGAGTCGCTGTTGGCGTGGGGCACGCTCATGATGCTGCCCATGGTGGTCCGTGCCACCTGGTCTGAGGGGGGGGAGAAGACACTCTCACTCCTGCAGTTCCACTCTCTACAGGAAGATACCCCAAACTACCGCTCCCACAGGTAGCATGAGCTAGCTGGCATGTGGGCAGAGGGGCGATGTACTTTTGCTGTGTTTATCCAGCATTGCTTAGAGAAGAGCCTCTCAGGGAGAATTCCTCTTATGGGGGGTGAAATGGCACATTGTCTGCAATACTGCGTGTGTCAGTTTGGAAGCCTTGTAAAAAGTTCACAAATAAATAGATGAGCTCAAAAACACGTGATCCTCCTGTGAGGAATGCATTTAGAGGGAAAACATTTATTATGCTCTAGAGAGTGTACAAGATTCAGTTTCCTGCAAATGCGCAACGTCTGTTTCTAGAATGCACCTAGAGTGTACATTGTGCTGTGCTGTTTCATTTACAGGTCTTTGTTGGGCTGTAGAATAAACACCGTAGCAATGATGTGAGTTTTTGGTCTGTCTCTTTGTTTGTAACTGACAATTAATCAGTATCCTATTCTGCTTCTAAAGGATTTGCCTTTGTTTTACTTTTTTCTGAGTCTTTTCTGAGACCTGCAAGACAGCGTCGAGGAAGGAAGTATTCAATTTTATTCAAATGCATTCAATGGAATAAATTGATAAATAGTATAAATCAGGTTACAAAGGTGGTGAAATGTGCTACATGCTATTTTTACATCCTGAGAGCCATGAAATCACTTTATAAAACATTCTTAATATAAACACTGGTCTCTTCATTTGTTTAAGGTATTCATAGTAGAACATAGCACTGCAAAAACAGAAAGAATGAAAAAATAAGAGCTCTACATTCTTTTATAAAACAAATGTAAATAGGAGAAAAAGTATCTTGCCGTTTGTCCAGGTAGTTACCTAGACAAACTGTAAAATGCAATTACATTTCTGCTCAGCTCATCCTTTTAGTTTTCCCCACTTCAAAGACATGTCTATTCCTTAACTCCAACAATGGGCTCAATTAGTTTAAGGGCTAGCAAAGCAATCAAGACCTTCCTAAAAGATGCTGTATTGCTGCAATTAGAAAACCTCTTTTCCTCCAGGCATTCATTTAAGTAATCAGAGGCAATCAGCTGTTCCCACTTCCCAATGGCTAATTCCCACTTCCACATTCCCTTGGAAAGAGAAGCAGGTGTTTTAAAGGTCATCTGTGGAGAGAATTATGACTTCACATACGCTTCTCTATCTCTGCTGAAATGTAAAAAGAGTAGAGTTTGGACAATTTAATTAATGAAGAACAATTTTCCTACAATTATGCATACTTCATCAAAGTGGCTATTTTTCTATTTCAGCCTTTTGCAAAATTGAGGTCTTTGCTTAATCGTAAGTTTAAATAGGGAAATTAGTTAACATTGGTTCAATTGGTTGGAGCAAAAGAAGACAGACAATATAATAGGGAATATGTCATCTCGCCTAATTTGTTTGACCTGCAAAAATAGATTTTGAGAGAAATTTGAAGAGTGAAAGGAATATTGAAGGACAGAACATCAGCCACATAAGAGTTGTGTGAAATAACATACAGTACTTATTGCAGAAACAGAGGACTATATCCAAAATATTCTAGACAGAAGGGACATTCATTAAACTGTGCCAAGACAAAGAGTACAATTGTTATAAAAATCACAGTATGTCTGCACGCAGACGTAACATTAAAAGACAAGACAATAACACAAGCAGATGCTATAACCTGACATCATATAAAGAGGTGCATAGAATTATAAAAAAGAGGCAATAAACAGTAAACAGGTGGGTAGCATTTGTGGATGAGGCACTCTACAAGATGCGAAACATCTTAAGAAACAGGGGTTTTCAAATGACCGCAAGATGTCCTGCAGTGGATTGTGTGATTAATTCTGTTATTTGGACATTTGGACCATCAGGAAAGTTTTTCAGGAGATGGAAGGTACAGTATGTGGCAAATATAGACAATACTGTTTTACTGTTCTAACATATTGTAGAGCAGGTGGAAATTAAGAGGAGGAGGCTAATAATTCTTGGTACATGCTGGAAAGATATGGAAAGAAAGATAAATATGAGGTTACAGTGAGATACTGAAGGGGAAGCAATGTGGGGACACCAAGGATACGAATGCACAAGACATTTCAAGAGAAGGATGGCCAGTGGTTTTCAGTGAAATACAGTGAGTGGAAGATGAAGTACCAAGGATAAGGCATGAAAAGAAGACAGTCCGTTAGAACAGTGTCCCTTAGTGTCCTTGGGGATCCAGTGAGTGACACCTCAATTAATTCATGAATCAGCAAGCTAATTGATCAAACCATGAATCAGAACTGACTGTTTGCTACTTAAACCTTGTTAACCACTTTATTCTGTGAAAAGATGAAGATGTCTATTTTGCCAAGTTAAAATTCATAAGCTACCTTGGAACTATGAAAGTTTTTTGGATTGCAGTTCAATCGCAGGGTTTAAACAAGCAAACCGTTGCTCTAATTAAGTGTACAGTAAAATAATCAGGGATGTGAATCATGTGGCTGAAGTTCTAGGTTGTCTAATGTTAGACAACTTGTCAATTTAATAGACACCTAGATGTGTAAAATGCGTGCTTCCTCCTGCATCCTCCTACCACCCCCACCAAAAAACAAAAAAAAGGGAAAGTAGCTCCATACCTTGTTTGATCTGACTGAAGTCAATAATCCAGCTTTCATCCCAAAACATCTTTTGCTTTTGATACTGAAACCACTGGAGTGAAAAGTAAAAAGACAAGCATCTGCACATCTTCCCAAACGATGAGTAAAAGCAACCAAGGCACTTTATTCTGGTTCAGACATAATTTCAGTGAAAAAAGTGTTGTGATATATGTGTCAACATATTGATCATTATAGATGTTAGAACATAAGTTTTATATGTAAACAAAATTGAAAAGGGGAAAATACAATTGGATAAATTTAAACATACAGTATACACTGTTATATTAACACCAGTTATTACATGCCAAGAGAGGGATTCGAACTTAATGTAATTATAAAACAACAAAATGGATAAACAGCACTGTTTTCTTGTGCAAGTATAGTAAAATATATTATTTGGTTATGGATTACCATATTAATAAAGTCATTAAATATTTCTCCATTCTGTTTCATGCTAATATTAATTAGGGGGCGGCTGATTTCTTGATATGCCTTCCAAGCAGAATATGAGGCAAGCACAAGGTAAGTCAGAAAAGGCCAGACCGAGGTGAAACGTTATGTCCAGGAAAAGGCCACTCACCACAGCTATGAAGATAAAGCCGACAAAAATGAACGCGATGGGGAGACAAATTGCAACCTTGATGGACGCGGTCATGGGACATTCCCCACAGTCTGCCGGGCAGGTGGAGCAGATCTCTTCCTCCTCGCACACGCCGTCTCCACAGACTGCAGGGGGACACAGGCACGGTCACAGACTGGCCTAATGCATTTTCTGTTGTACTGCCGAAGTGTTGAATGGCTCAAAGCGGGAGTTCTTGGTTAACTGTTAATAGCCCATCGGCTGCGGTCTCACCGAGATTAAACAGCTCTATGAGGACCGCTGCCGTGGTAGAATTCTGGGCATCACAGAGGACAGTCACCACCCCGGGCATGAGCTCTTCACCCCACTGCCCTCAGGCAAGAGATATAAGAGCATACGGACACTTACCACCAGATTCTTCAATAGCTTCTATCCACAAGCAGTGAGACTGGCGAACACATTTAGCCATCCCCCTCGGACCACACCTACACCATCACCATCTACCTCATTGTAATTTATTTATTGTACGTCTCCAGTCATTGTTTACACGTCTGTATTGTTTACATTCAAACTGCCTGCATGTTTACTTGCACATTGTCTACTGTTTGTTTGTACATTGTCTTGATGCACTGTTTGCACTCTGTTTTGTTTTTTACACTTGTTTTACAATCGAGAGACTTTCTGTAAGTAAGAATTCCATTGTACCAGTACCGGTTACATATGGCAATAAAGTTCAAGTTCAAGTTCAAGCCTCGCATGTCAAGAGCCTCACATGTTAGAGACACGATTAACAGGAATTAAAATCACCATTTCTCAAAGCTGGAGGTCATGGTTAACTGTTAATAGTGTATACTCGTGCTAGTCTTTACTATGCTAATGAAATCTTTACAAAAAGCAACACATAACAACAACTTGAATTTAATTCCCTCTTCTAAGGGACCTCAACTATGAATGCCCATTTTATGCCCAACAGAGTAACAGCATCTTGGTCTGTACTGGTCTACCGTTTTATAAAACACACCAAGAAAGTTGTGCTTCTTCGCTGTAATGGACCAAAATCCTAACTAATAACATCATTTATTTATGTGAATTGTACAACAGCTGTTTCTCAAGTAAGGTTTGATCCCCATTAATCTTAGATGTTTTAAAAGTGAAAAAAATCAAGAAAATTAAACATCTGTCAGAGTATTTAACAAAGCCTGTGTTCATATATTTTTTAGAAGTTCATGCAGGCACAGCCAGGTTTTGATATGATCATCATGCTTTCCTATATCAGACATGTGTTGTAATGTATAAATCATTCATTATATCTCTTTGAATATTCCACCCTAGGCAAAGATTTATTTCATTTAGACAGCATCGGGATTTTCAAGTTCTATTATACGTTTTCTGGCTTTACAAGTCTTTCTTTCTCAATAATGGGAAGAAATAAACTCCCTAGAAGTGCAAGTTCTGTGTATGCATGTCTGCTCACTGCACAGACACTCAGAGAGGTCAGGGCTACCTCTTGTGAAAGGCGGAAGGGAACTGGGGAATTGGCTGCTCGTTTCGACAGTACCTATAGCTGGCAAGACTGTGGTCTTGGCTTCTAAAGCCACCTGCATCTTTCCCACCCGGATATGAGCAATCAGTGAGGTGACCCCCACATGAATCAGCACCACCTGCAAACACAGCAACACAAAGGCTTCATCAGTCATGAGCCAAAAATGTGTAAAAGGGTTGTTTTTTTTTACTCTGATTCATATTGGGCTAAATCCATATATCTATAAAAAAACACCTGTTTTACCAAATGTCTATTTCTATATGACAAACCAAAACAATGTCAATTCCTTCTCTGACAGTAGAGGGATCACATATGCTGTGTAGCAGTTTGAAGATTTCCTAACCTTGTCACTAATTAGCTGGAAAACAAAATTGATTAGATAGTTATTCTTTTCTGAATTAAACATGCATTCACAATTGATGATAAATGATGCATAAGTCTCCGCCAAATGTGATGGAAAGAAATGCATTTCAAACATCAGTAAATAGTGCGAAAAACACAATTGGAATAATGGATAGGTACCTACTCTTTTTCTAAGTAAAACTCTAATATATATAATTTTTAATTGAATTATGCATTTAAATAGTCAGACATTTACGGAGTCAGCAAATCTCCAGAAAACAAATTTGCATATTTGTTATTGACCATAGCTGTATCAGACAATGTCTGATCAGTTGTCTGATCATGCAGTGGTCTTCTAGTTAAGTACTGTCACATTTTGTTTTTTCCCTTTATTTTACATTAGCATATCCGCAGGCCCTGTGTACTAATTCACACCGTCATATAAAACTGTTGCCCATCCCTAAGCTTTACATGTTGAGATGAATTCACTTTTTACATTTTGGGAATTATATTGGACCTTAGAAGGTTAATTTAGAAGTCAGTGATGAATTCTAATAACTTATAATAAAGTGAGTAAAATATGAAATGATTTAATAGTAGCACAGATCATTTCTTACACTGGGCCCGAGAGCAAACCAGCTTCATGTGGGAGACATGGCTGTATTTAGCTTAATGATTTGCAAGTAGCTAATAATTTTTCCTTATTCTTGCAAAATTCTTTAATAATCACTTTAATGGAAAGATGTGCACAATTTCTACCTTATATCACGAGACGATCTTAGTAGCATTTCTGCACCAATTTTCAAAGCAAAAACTAAATGTACATATGTTCAAAATGGAACTTGAAAACAAGCAAGATGTCATGTCTGAAACACCTGCAGCTTTGATTCCTGGAAAGGGGAAACGCTCTTTGTATTGTGTTATCATTTATGACCACCACAGGGATACAAACAAGGGATAGTCTTCAGAAACGTTTACAACATGTCCTTAAAATAGATATTGTAAAGCAAAAATGTATCTCAGACCAAAATGGAAGACATTTTAATTCTTATAAATTGCACAACATCAAAAGAAGTAACTGTGAGATGTTGACAGTCAAGACAAAAAGAAAATGCAACCAAATCACACTTTGCATGCATGCAAGCTACAGTATGACTAGAAAGCACTGCTTATGTTAAACTAAAATTGAATTTCCGTACCCCTTCCCTTCTAATGTAGTTGGAACACTCTGAAAATGAGTATAAAAAAGCACCTCTGAAATGTTACCTGCATCACTTTGCATGCTTATACTGATATACTGGAAAGAATACTGGAAGAAATACTGGAAAATATATTCTCAACAGTAATTAATTTAGTCCTGATACCTAAACCTGCCATTTACTTTTATAACGAGAAGCATTCAAAATAAATAAACTCCATTGGTTCCTGTACTAATTTGTGGTGTTTTTAATAACTCTTTAGAATGTGAGTGATACAGTCAAAATACAAGGAGACCACATAATAAAATGCAAAAAATTGTATTTTAAGTATCAAAAGTTGGACATCTCCCCTCTAAAAATCCTCCAGTTTTGTAACTTAGCTTATAAATACCTAAAAGGCAAAAAAACAGACAACTAGACACATTTACAGGAATATTCTGCATTAAGCCTCAATAATGTGTTTTCTGATTGTATTTTAACTAAAAACATCAGGTTAACACTATTTGCTGAGACCCATTCGAGGAAGTTGAATCGTATGAGCTGCTCATTAGAGATAGAGACAGAATCAGTGAACTTGCAGTATCCTGTCTGAACAATAAACTTTAAAAGGCCGTGTTGTCTGAATTTGACTCAGGGGCTTTTACAGTACGTGTATCTATTGTGTTGTTTACACAGAGGTACCTTAGCAGTCCAGTTGGTCTGAGTCATTTTGCCAGCAGCAGACAGAGTGTGGGTGAAAATCCTGCCATCATCTGGAATCCAGGGACCACAAATCCCCCCTTTCACCTGTTTCAGAGGAAACAGAGGCAGAGAGATGAAAAGATGAAAAAAACAAGAAAACGGCACTTGACCTACTGTATCGTTCTTAAGGACAGTTACAAACTTTTCTGTCTACAACAACAAAGTTCGATTTTCATTATTGGTCTTGGGAATGATGTTCCCAAAGAACATTTGGCATTATTTTAATTCCAGTCCCAAAGTTTGGGATTTTCATCTGCTATTTTCTGCATAACAGTGGAAGTAGTTTAGACAAAGCAACTTTTGGAAGCACATTATACAGAAAATTGGAAAGTGTTGGCTACTTCTCTCACACTACTTCAGTGGCTCTTTCGTACCATGAACGCCAGGGGGCAGGAGTGGATGTTGGCATGATGAATGCAGCAGTTTTCCCCGTTGGCATCTTTCCAGTTCGGCGGGCACTCGTGTCCTTCACAAAACTCTTTGGCAGCTGAGGCATTGCTGATGATCACAGGGGGAAAAAAAACAGCACACACAAAATGTGTCACCACTTGGTCTTAACCCCAGGTGCGCTCGACTCTCTTCATTATCTGGCCTCCCCATCCATCCATCCATTTGCTAACCCCTTCTTCCAAATTAGGGTCACATGTGAGCCAGAGCCTATCCTGGCAAGTAACAGGCACAAGGTGGGGTACGCCCTGGGCAGGACTCCAGTCCATCACAGGGCACACACAGACATACACTCACACTAGGGACAATTAATTAACCTTCCGGTATGTCTTTGGACTGTGGGAGGAAACTGGAGCACCTGGAGGAAACCCACATGAACATGAGAAGAACATGCAAACTCCACCACAGACAGCACCCCGGGTCTGGAATTGAACCCAGAGCCCCAGCGCTGTGAGGCAGCAATGCCAACCACTGTCCTGCCCATCTGGCCTCCCCATTTCACACAACATCGGTAAGTATCTGTATGGCCTTATGGCCATCCCTCTATTTCGAAATCAAACTCTGATCCCTATAGAAACGTTGATTTTAATTCAACAAAGGCCGGCCGTCTACCTGCCCGGCCCGTTTCATACGCCAGGGTGCACTGCAAAGACAAGGGACAGGACACCTGTGGGAGAGGATATCATTCTTCACAGCCCACTCGTAGAAGCTGTCCTGCGCGACGGCCGCGTAGGTGACGTTGAACTCCTCCCCGCTGACCACCTTCTCCGGAGGCCTGTGCACCCAGGCCATCTCGAGTCCTGCACAGCGGGGGGAACAAGTCACTGCAGGGGCCGGGGGGGGGGGAGCACTCGGCGGGAAAGAGCTGGCAAAGGTGACGGACCACCCCGGACTCCACACGGCCTTGAAAAAGGCCTTATCCAAAAAATGACCCTGGCTCCTCCTAACACACACAGCCTTTATCGACATGTGCTGTTTCTTGTGGCAGTTGCATTAGGCATTTATCACAGAAAACTTGCTGCCTTGTCATATTACTCATTACTTTGAATTGCCACCAATCTGGGGGTAGGTTATGGTAATGTTGTTGTTGTTGTTGTTGTTGTTTTTTTCTTTAAATTATATTTAACAAAACAATCAAAGTAGTTACTTTGAACCCCACTGTGCATCATGTGAGGAGCTGATTAGTGCTGTTATATAATATTCAAATTCTTGATGTTCATCAAGATTATAGGCAGATTATAGGCACAGTTATCAGTTGAGAATGACAGTCCAGAGCGGGATGAAAATATAGCTGCCACCTAGTGGACAAATGAAGTAACACCAGGTTGAGAAATTGCGCTAAAAGAATACCGTTCAAGAGTTTGTCAGTGCAGTCGGACAAACGGGCTTTTGATAAAGGAGAATATTGTTATAGTTCATGACAAATCATGACAACTGATCACAAATCTGTTCAAGAGCTGCCTTTATTCTAAGACAATGCTACGTATCTTTTTTTAACTTCCCACCTCTAGTTTTTTTTAATAAATTAAACTCCAGAATAAATAAATTTCCATGATGTTTTTCCAGAATGTAGAAAATTACTAGTTATCATAGCATACTTCATGTTAAATTTCACTGGAAAACAAGTAGGAATCGTCACTAAGTAAAATATATTTTAAATGAGAGAACATCCATAATCTCGTGAAATATCCAGCTTTCCGAAGTCACGCACCACGATTAATATATATATATAGTGGTGTTTTTGTGTGTAAACAAAGCAGAATGTACAGTCTGTAAAATCAATATTTTCAGCTCTGTCTTCCGCAACAGGCTTTCCATCCTCTGTGTCTTCTCAGAAGCTTACAGCTTTTGGTCCGATTTTTAACATCATGCGTTTAGATAGTTAGCGCACCGACAGACATTTTGAATATAAATAACAAATTCAGATGTTCTTTTTTTAAAAAAACTTACAAATGAAATAATAATTAAGATGAAAGGCACGATCAACGAAAAACTAATTCTAAAAACACACGCAATAAAAGAGTTTTTGCCAGAACAGGTAATCAATCATGCAAACCTTTTTACTGAGGATCACTCTTACACAAACACATCCTGATATCATATATAATTTATGTTCCGAAAAAATAATTTCCTCTTATTCACTCATTCATGTAGGACTTTCAAGCTTTTAAAAGCGAAAACCTAACATCATTTACCAAATCTTCAATATAATAATTCTGCGGAGAAGGAACAGTAGCTTTAGTTTAATTAAAAACGTTTTAAATCATCATTAAACACGCCATTTAATTATGTTAAATGCATACCGAACGTGATAATGTTATGTGTCGATGACATACTGATGTAAATATAGAAAAACACGAACATTTACAGTAGCTTTGTCTATAACTTCACGACTTTTTAAGACATGAAAGTGTAGGACACGAAAAATAGAAAGATTGTAACGTGGTTAATGAATACATTTATCAATAAAAAGGGCTTACCTCCACAATCAATCATATTAAATTCGTCGGGTTTTTCTAAAGGCCAGCAGTCATACTCGCTGTTGTCCAAATCATGCCAGGCTGTAACAGCTTTGATCAGAAGCAACTGCCAGTGAAATAATGAAAAAAATAAGTTTACCTCAAGAAACATGGCTTGCGACCGTGAAAACCCTTTAAATCTGTGAATTCTCAGTACATAGCAGGCTACAATCAAAATCGAGGAATATTTGCTCCTAAACCAAAGGAGAGAAAAAAAAACAAGAAAAAGAAGAAACAATGTTTGCCAACAGTACTTACCAATGAAAATAATTCATGAGACTTTAAGCACTGCATGATCTATCTGTAGCTGTTCTGAATTTAAAACCAAGCACTGACGTCGGAGAGAGGTTATGTGTATTGTTCCCTATAGACAGACAGAACCTGTGCTCGTTTTTTAGCAGAAAAAGCGAAGCGCAGCTCAGGGCATGCGTCTGTTCCAGCGCAGGAGAAGCGCAGTCAGAGATGCGCACTTTAGACCTGTACAGTTCAATTACAGCGAGATGCGTGAAAGCAAACTCAGTGGCTCTCCTCAATCACCTACGCTACCCGAGAGACAAGAAGCATGGGACAGTTCTTTGTTTTGTTTTTTTTATATATATAATGATACGTATCAGTTTGGTTGTCTCGAAACTCGCACACTGTTTGAATTAAGACGTTTAAATTTGAACGACCTGCCCCTGGTATCACGACCCGCGTAGGACCTCAGAAGTAAAAACGGGTAGTCGTCTTTTATCATTATTATTCCACAACGGACTAACAATTAGGTATTTCAATTTGAGGTGTTTTTTTTTTCCCTAACGCGAAAAGGTTAAACATTTCTTAATTTCTTGAACATTTCTTAATAACAGCAGTTATTTAAGAAAGAGTAGTGTCTCCTTTTCCGATCTAATTCACACGTTGCAAAAAGAAAAGGCACCGTTTTGTTGGTGTGACAAAAACAGAGAATAGGAGGCTCTACTTTACCCAAAGGACTGTGGGAGCATGGAACAGGCTACTCAGTCGTGGTGTGGAAATTGGTCATCATTGGGTACCGAACGAGTTATACTGTGAGCTGCTAACGGCATCCATGTCATGTGACTCATGACAATTTGTCAAATGAGGTGATAGAATATTTGAGTCTGGTAGATTTTTCTCTCCAAAGTAATGGCAAACAAGCTTCAAACAAAATTGTAGGTATCTGGTAAATCGTTTTTTAGAGAGACGAAAGAGTCGTCAGGTCCACATGTTCTAACAGGTACTGCAAAACAGCTGCATAGCATATACAGTAATACTCAGTAGCTGTCTACGGAGGTTATATAACTGTGCAGCGCCGTGGTAGTGCACAGCAGGGGGCGCTGTTTTGCCGTTCGGTGTGGTCACTGCCAATCAAGTCCTTAATAAACGTGCACACGCGAAACCATGCCGCGCACATCTGCGTGAAGCTGTTTCAGAAAGAGTTCACGTCCCCATTTGTACTTAATTCTACCATAGATTAAAAAAAAACGATTATCTCCATTTGTGTCAAGGTCGAACACCAGGAAACTGCCAGCTGTTCCGCTACATTCTTTCACAAAAATGCAAAACAAACAACAAGCAATACAAGTATGGGGGCTGTGATGCACTTTCTGGAAGCATTTTAGGCAATTGTGCTTTTTGTTTTAACTCCTGCAAACGCATTACGAGTCTCCCAGAATGGGTCAGCATAACACCACCACCTCAAACACCTTTGACATTGTAAACAAGCTCCTGAATTAGGAGACTTAACAATAATGATAAAATCTCTATAGACAGGATTTTAACACATACTATAAAAGTCCAAATGCTGCTCACCATAAAAGAGATTATTGTAGTGTCTCCGAGACACGTACAATTTGTGCTCTGATAAGAAGAGGTTGAGGAACGGGAAAACGGGATATATTGTTACTATAAGCAGTCCAAGTAGGGAGCTGTGTCAGCATGCGTAGGCTTCAGAGGAACAAGTAAAGCTTTATTCCATGCTGAAAAGAGAAGAAAGGAAACAACGTTTCGACTGTGGAGTCTTCTTCGGGTGTATGTTCTTATATTGTTACTATTCCTACATTAGTTCTAAGCAAGCAAGAGAAGTGTACCGCTGTTCATCATACCTGATTTTGTATCAAAATAATGGATACATGACTTAAATTTCTATCCAGTCTTGGAGTGAATTTCTGGTCAGGGATTAAACGCCAATTGCTTGATACATCTTGAGATATCTTGTAACATACTGTATGCATCATTGCCAATGGTGCCCCCAGCCACTATGTACTGACACATACCCAGGCAGCAGATGCTTTTCTCCATTCAAAGTTCTAAATAAGACAACACACACAGAGATCACGTTGCATTTTTATGTTTCACCTCGGGTGGTACTGTACATGACAAACTGAAACAAAAAAAAAGAACAGGATAAACAGCTTTGTTCTTCATCTCAAGCTTCTGATTTCTAGGAAATCAGTGGTGAGGGGTTCTAGACTTATACCAGAAAAGTTCTGGGTTCAAAATCCCAACAAGACACTGCTGTAGTACTTTTCAGCAGCACTGACCAGATTTCTTATTATCTTTAAAAACACTGACATTTGATTACACTTTGTTGTTTTGTTCCTAGAGCCTCAGAAAACACAGTTCGTCGTTTTGAAGAAGTGTTGATATCGGAGCAATACATAAGCTCATTAACGTCTTCTTTAACAATATCAGCTTTCTTTAACTTTGCAAACCTTTATTGAAAAGACACACCTTGCTAACAGACTACATGGGATATACAGTATACTAATATATTCCTGAAACACTGCTGCTTGTTTTAACCTTGATTAAGTACGGGGTATTCTAACATCTTGTTGATTGTAATCTCATTCAGATGATAATGAAACTAAAGTGATTGGTCATTATGACTAAGCACATTCACAAATCACTGTCAAAATACGAGGAAACCATTACACTAGGTATCTTAATGGCTATCTATTACTGATAACTTTCATGAATCACACATGTAATTAGGGTTAAATATTAACAGTAAAAAACGCATAGTCATATGTGATAAGATGGCAGCAAGGCTGAGACGTTAAGAAGCCATTAAAAATAAAATCAAATTACCTCCAAAGCTTTGAGAAAGTAAATTAGTATAACTTGAGTTTTTTGGCCATTGTCTAAAAGTTTATGCTGTAATTTCCACTTCAGTTACGAAAGTGGCATCTAATGCATGTGTATAAAATATATACATTCTCCTTCTTATTTTCTTTTAGGAAACTGTCTTTAAAATGTTGCCCTTCATTGCAAAGACTTATATAAACAATTTAAATGTGTTCAACACTTTCTGTGTTTCTGTAACACCAAAACATTTTTATTCTTTTCCAAAGCCATAATATTTGTTTTGAATAAAGGCTTAAATTCATTCCAGTTTCCGGCAAACAATCTCCATTCTCATCATTAAAGTTCAAGACTAGAGGTGAAATACTTATTTTCCTGAGGAACAGCCAATGGATTTTATTTCTAATGCTAGTAATATGTATTTACAGCATTCCTTTCGCATCAAGTGCAATCCCAGAATAGAGGTTAGAGCTAGGTCAATGCTTTTAACAAGCTGAAAGCCTGGGAGAAAGTAATATATATATATACTGTATATCTTCAGTCCCTGTTTCATTAGAAAACATGCTCCTGATGTTATTGAGGTTTATTTGCTCAGATGTTCTGAGTAGAGTATACCTGACTCTTAAGAGACTTCTAGAAATGGTAAGAGCACCTTTTAATCAATGAGAAAAAATTAAAGCTACATCAATGTTCACAATCTAACCTGTTTTATGTGGCTTCTAAGATCAAAAGGATGATGTTACACTACGCACAGTGCGCGCGTGCATTCCCTCCTCAACCGTCTACACCACACTTTTCCCTGGGTCAGAGATTAAATAAAACTTCACTCGCACCAAACAAATTACCACACACTGAACACGTTAACCCAAATATGTCTCACACTACATATATGTTCACAATCTAACCTGTTTTATGTGGCTTCTAAGATCAAGGGCTAATGATGGAATGCATACTGTATGTGCTATTGTGCAAAAGTCTAGCAGGTTGTCTATCAATGTGCTTAATCAGGCAGCAACATACTGTAGTTTGACATCCTTGAGTAGTTGTGATCATGTTTTGAAGATTGTGACTAGTGCGAAATAAAGATGGTTAAAATACAGGTTTGTCTTTTTCTGTCCCACTCTAAGCTACATGGTAGCTTTCAAACAATAGCAATAATAGCTGGAAACACTAGAGGTGGGTTAGAATTGTTGATGATCGTAACATGCATGTATTATCAATCTTGATTGTATCTAAGATATAAATAAAATTATGTTATAAAACCATTACATGTTTTTTATTTCTTGTTTTTTTTTTGAGGGCTGTAAAGTAATTGGCTATGTCAGTCTGTGAATACCTGCTTGCTTAAAAGGAAACTGGCTTTGAAGTAGCTCCTCTCTACAAAACAGAGAGTTCCTTATAGTACTGTATACATTAAAGAACCTGTTGCCAGGAGAATATTGATGCAGTTTTGCATCAGGATTTTTATCAGGAATCTTTGAAAGAGACTTTCAAAATGCAGCATATCTTGTCAGAAGACTTTGTTTCAGGGCATCATGATCACGCGTGCAAACAGCAAATCACTTTTGATTTTGTCTGTCTAAAGGTGAATAAAGCTCTCATAAAGCACCTGAAACATGGCTTTACTGATCCATATTCATACTGTTCAACATGTGCTTGTTGCATCGGCCATACAGTACATATACTCAAAACACATTAACATTTTACATGCATTCACGTACTGTACATCTACACATTTCCAATTCAATTCACCATATGCATGCTGTATGCATAAAAGGCAGATTGAAACCATGAGTCTTATGCGGGATGGCACAATTATAAATGGCGATGGACTCGTGTCCTGTCTAAGGTGTCTCCCGCTGTGTACCCCCTGTATTGATGCGGTGAAAGACTGACGGTATGGAGGTAGTTTCACTTCCCGAGCGAGCGAGGCTGCCTGAAAATATTCATATGTGGAGTACGTAGCAAGGGACCACGCAGTAGGTGCACAACACCTTCAGAAATTCAGCCAAATCCAGAAAAAAAAAAGTTGTCGGAAAATCAAAATTTGATTACGAGCTATATTAACGTGGGCTGCTATTGCGATCATTAAGGTAAGGTCGAAGTAAGGCAGAGACCACATTGGTATCTGAAAAGCGGAACGAGGCTATGCCAAACGCCAGATAAGATCACTGCTCTGGTGGTGAAACGTCCTCATTTTGGATTCGTATAAGCAAGACTTTTTCCACTGCCTATTCCTTCCGCCCGGGTCTTGGCTTCCTTTCTCATACAATATTTCTTGCACAATACATTTGGCAAACCCAGCCACGGCGACCGTGCTCTTTGCGCTGCGTTGAGCGAGTCTAGTCTTAAACATTTGCGAAACCTTTGAGAGGAAGAACATTTTTTTTTCCCGGCCCCTTAACTATTATATTTCGCAGTAAGTACTATTGACTACTATCTTTTATCCTTAAAGTAGCGTAGCTACCATCTGGGAATAGGACTGAACGCGAAATCAGAATCCGCTAAGTTAATAAAAGCTAAATACGTAACAGCAAATAAACGGCGTACTTGCTTTATGTTTGTTGCGAACTATCGTGTGTGTGTGTAGCACTGGGATCCGATCCACCTGCACCTGGGTTAATTTGTTTTCCAAATGTTTACATCTCTTTTAAACCCAGCGTATTAAATATATAGTACGCCGTGTGCTGTATATGCATATACTGTATTATTATTCACTTTGCTGAAGAGGTTAATGTGGTGCGCGAAGCTTGACCGCAGATCTTTACGATGCTGTACAACGATTGCAATCGGAAATCGAGAGCGTTAATATGACAGAGCTTTCTGCATATGTGAAAGCCAGCATTACCTTAATAAAACTAAAAATTGAGGAAATAGAAAGGATAGACATTGCTTTCTTCCTTGTTCTTTGCGCATTGTTTGCTGACAGAGTACAGTGCCTTGTGACTTGGCCTGTCGGTTTTGTTTTGCTAACCATTTCTGAAGTTTCCTATTAGTTGTTTGCAGTTTTAACCCAGCTACGTGTTGTACAGTAGGTATCGTACACAATCTCATGTAATGCGCCGTTTACTGTATACTGTATGTTGCATGTAACACGGCGTGTATAGAATAAATACGATTATTTATTTTTCATTTTCCATCTAATTGTTTATTGGGCTAATACACGCTGATAAGGGCAGAAAATGTTTTGTTCGCCCGCCCGTGTTCACCTGTATAACCCGATTTAGTCATACAGTATAATACATTTACTAAACCTAGTGCGGGGCAGGCTGAATGATCATTTGGTTGGTTCCTCTTTAACCAGCACAAATTTTGGTGGTAGCTGTTGTGATGCATGTATAGGCCACACGACCAGGTTATTGTTAACTTTCTTTATGGTGAGCTCAGCCCAGCGTCTCTTAACCCCCCCCCCCAGGTCACGTGATACCGTACAAGCTCCCACCCTTGACACTGTATATCATACTGTACCTCCCTCACCAGCAGTATATTATACAGTATCCATTTGTAATAACACAGTATGTAACTTAATTGCAATTAACCAGCATGTAACTGGCGATTCATGGCAATAACAATCGATTCAACATAATGTACAAAATCCACAGTTTTCTGTTAGCCTTCGTCAGGCAGTCTTTTAGGAACTTCACTAACTCGTGGAAGAAACTCTTCCTTACAGTAAAGATTTGAAGGTCCTGGTCAGGGTTTTTGTTTTCCTAGCCATCACCCGGAGGTTCGGTTGTTGGTCTCTTTGATGCAGGGGTACCCATATGTGAGCCTGTCTGTGAGGGGCTTGTAACGTGTATAAAAGGGCAAATGGTTCCACACTTGGTGTGCCGGAGGAGCCTGCCTGCCTACCCAGTTCTGCCCTGTGCGTCTGGCCCCCGGTGATTGTCCCTGCTAGCTGGTTCATCGAAAACGCAATCGCCAATAATTTTACCGACTCCTGTCAGTGCCGGTCCTCTTTGAGTAGCCGTGGTTAGAGAGCAAACTTAAGACATCTTTGTGTTTCCTTTCCCCAGAGGTGAAAGGAACATGGTCCGAGCAAAGACCTGGACACTCCGCAAGCACTTTGAGGGGTTTCCCCAGGACAGTGACTTTGAGCTGAAGGAACAAGAGCTGCCTGAACCGAAGGATGGAGGTGCTGTGTAAAGACATCATGTCCTCTGTTTTTGTTTTGCGTTCCGTCGGGTGCTGCTCTCATGGGCGTCCGATACTGTCGCTTTCATGGCAGGGACATGTTAATCAGAACCAATTAAGTTCTCACTGTGACGAGTCTCCATTGCTTTTTGGAGCTGCTTGTGATGTTATGCATCTGCTTGATTTCCCACTCGGCAGAGAAAGCTGAGCAGGTTGTATATCCCATGTGTGGGAAGGTGCCCTCTTTATAAGGTCAAAATTAAAACTACAAGTAAACTATCAATAGCTTTATCACATGTATTGGACAGCAAGTACAGAATTGCTGTTGTGGCAAAACGTCTTAAATGTTTCCTTAAATCAAACCTGTTACTCTGTTGGGCCCCCGAGCAAGGCCCTTCACCCCAGCTGCCGTGTAAATGGCTGACCCTGTGCTCTGACCCCAAGCTTCTCTCCCTTTGAAAAGGGAGAGAAAAGGGAAAATTTGAAAAGACAAATTCCTAATGCAAGAAATTGTATATGGCTAACAAAGTGATCCAATCTCTCTCTTATCTCATCTTAGTTTGTGTGTTATATGGGTGTGAGTGATATTTAACTTCCTGGTACAAATGTTTTCATCAGATATATGTTATGCAAAGTAACAAAATCCCGGAGGTACCAGACTGCCCACCCCAAATGTAGACAGGTGATGAGCCCCTATAGTGATCTGGAGAGCAGGGAAGCATTCAGTGAAAACCTGAGAAAGGAAATTAACACGTCTTATTTACCATATGAGTCACAGAAAACAATATGGGAAACAAGTTTTCAGAAATGGCGTGGGAGGTTGCAGAGTCATAGCTGTTCAAAACAGTTTAGACAGATCATTTTATTGAAGCAAGTGATTATATCAGCAGATTTGTGTCAGTGTAAAATTATTCAGTCTTAGATGGCAAGCATATAGTTCAGCCTTTCAACTTAAAATATTACAAATGCTGGGGACTTTAAAGCAATATGTCATCATCAGCCTTTATCAGTCCTTTCCGCATTCTTTTATTCCTCATCCAGCTTGTTCTTGCAAAATTACTGAGATCATCTTGACACTTCACTGGAAGTCTTTTTTGTTTTTGTTTTCAGGTCCCTTGGGATCTAATTCAGCTGCTTCTTGGTTGAATTATCTGATGTTCATGTTATGGCTTGCCCTTTTCCATGTCCTTTGTCTCGTTTAAAAAAAGGCAATAGTTTTTTGTGCTCGAACACATTAGTCTCATTGTCATCTCATTTATGTTGCAACATATTTGTGTCTTTTCTTGCCATTCCAAGCCTGGGCGATCTGCAGTTTGTGTTTCATTTGTGCTCGATTTCCTGCCCATATGTTAGTACAAGCAGCTGACTTTGGCCGTAGATCAGCGCAGCTTCCACGGGATGTGGGTGAAATGTTGTTTTCACATGTTATTGTGTCCAAAATGTAACTTAACAGCAGTGCAACTGAAATGCTTTGTTTGCTTGTCAGCTTGGGAGTTTTTGCGTTTGCGTTTTTGTGTATTTCCAAGTAATGTATTCTTGAAAGGCGTCATGTAAAAGTGTTTAGAACAAGGCAAACCGAGTTATGTCTGTTATGCAAACAGCCTGCCCCAAACATTTGGAAAAATATTCCAGTTACATGGCAAAAAAACCTGCTGAAATAGTGTTTTAAACTAACCACCTTTCAGCGGTGTTTCGTAATGTTGCAATTTTAATGTGTCATTAAGTTGATAGCAAGTTGCACTTCCTCTAAGAGAAGACCTTGTACTGGCTGAAACAACAGTATTTAGGATTGTCATTGCAATTGATTAGGCAGACAACACCCACTCTTCTGAGGTCTAACGCTTTCATAGGAGAGAAAGGAGATACGGAGCTGCTTTTATGAATTGATTAGGGCCTCAGTATATTTAGATATATTTTAAAGTGGAACCTGTCTGTTCATGAAGATCAAGATATTGTGTATAAAATTGTGCAATACTGGCGTGCTGTCAAACCTGACACCCTGATGCCTTTCAAGAAGGGCTGGATGAGATCCTTAGATCAAGTTGCTACTTGCAACCACACAAGATACAAGGGCCGCCATTTCACCTGTCTTTCTAACTTTCTTCTCATCCTGCATTGTACAATAAATGTTGTTTTCTGAGTTGTTTCCAGTTGGTTCTTTTCAGAAATAAAACCAGAAATTGAAGAAAACAAGCCGGTGTTCATTCCATTTTGGCTAAATATTAAAGACTGCACTTGTTCACGAGACTTGACTTTCACAAGATCAAAGCAAGTCTCTTGGGTAGTCAGCATTATTTCTAAAATATTTTTTACTCTGTCACTACTAGAAATTAATCATCAATAGCAGGTTAAAAGTGGATACATTAACGTTTTATTTTTTGTTCTGTTTTAGAAGTCCTGCTTGAGGCAGTTTTCCTCAGTGTGGATCCCTATATGAGGTACAAATGAGAAGAGTCTGCACGCGTCCTGATACAGAAACTGTATTGACATTCACTGGGTTGGCTTTCCAGTCACTCCAGAAAGCCTCAAACAACTGTGCATCTCAACAAGAAGAGAATCAGAACAGAACAGTTAGCAGGTCTTGCTGAAATCCATGTGGATAGAAGGCAGCTCTCATGTGCCCTGTCCAAAGAGATTCTACATTGCTGTTCAGCCCATGAACTCAATCGGAAGCCTCATGTGCCATAGTTTTCAATTCAGTTACAGTGGTAGTAGGAAATAGAGCTGAGATATGGAAAAACACTATGTGACAGCCTGCACTAGGTGATGGGTCATGCTAATAATTCTGTCCTTTCATTTTTCTTTCTAGGCCATACAGTAAAGTACGGATGAAGGAGGGAGATGTGATGATTGGAAGTCAAGTTGCCAAGTAAGATCTGAAAACCTGATTGCTGAACTATGTATCCTGTTTCATACTTTGAATGTTCTAATGCTAAAGAATGACCGTTTGTGGAATCAAAAAAGGGCGAGTTTTTGTGATTTCTTACATTTTTTGGCATTTGAACAGAAAGTGAAATCGTATAGCAGAGATTGCTTATTTATTTGAAAAATCCATATTTTCTTTTAAAATGGAAGAAACCCATCAAGATAATCAATGCCT